CATCTCTTCCCCGTCTCCTCTTCCCCCTCCTCTCTCTCCTCCTCCTCCTCCTCTTCTTCCTCCTTCCCGTCCCCTCCTCCTCCTCCTCCTTTTCTTCCTTCTCCTCTTCCTCCCCTCCTCCTCTTCTTCCTCTTCCTCCTCCTTCCCATCCCCTCCTCCTCTTCCTTTTTTCCTCCTCCTCTTCCTCCCCTCCTCCTCTTCTTCCTCCTCCTCCTCTTCCTCCTCCTCTCTTCCTCCTCCTCCCCATCCCCTACTCCTCCTCTTCTTCTCCTCCTCCTCTCCTCCTATTCTTCCTCTTCCTCCTCCTCCCCTCCTCCTCTCTTCCTCCTCCTCCCCATCCCCTACTCCTCTTCTTCTCTTCCTCCCCTCCTCCTCCCCTCTTCCTCCTCTCTTCCTTTTCCTCCACTCCTCCTCCTGCTCCTCCTCTCCTCCCCTCCCCCTCCTCTGAAGTAACCCTCACGTAAAGACCTCCTCTGCAGCCTCTCCTGGCACCACTGCCCGCAGAGACCCAGCCCACAACCGGGCAGCTGAGCCGGCACTCATGTAAAGGGCTGGCGGCCCATGGCTTGGAAAGCAGCCTAGCAGCCGGCCCCAGCGGCTCCCGCCTGGCATCCCAGCTACTCAGGAGGCTGAGATCTGAGGATCCCGGTTCAAAGCCAGCCCGGGCAGGAAAGCATGTGAGCCTCTGATCTCCAATGAACCACCAGAATAAATAAATAACTCGAATCCTGAAAAAAAAGCAGCGGTACTTACGTCATGAAGCGGGTAGGCAGCCTCGTAGACATTGTTTGCAATCAGAGAGTTAATGCCTATGGAAGAAGAGAACAGAGGAATTGGTCGCTCTAGGCCAGGGTTCCTCAGCCCGCCATGGTGGTGGACATTAACCTTCACCTGCTTCCCAGCTGAGGATCCTCCACAGTCCCTTCCCCATCACTCCCATGGAGAAGCAAGCGTTTCGCCAATCCTAGTTTACCTGGGAGGCTGAGACCTGAGTGGGGATGGCGGTTCAAAGCCAGCCCCAGCAGGAAAGGTCTGTGAGACTCTTATCTCCAATAAATTACTGCCAAAAAAGAGAAAGGAAGGGAGGGAAGGAGGGAGGGAGAGAGGGAGGGAGGGAGGGAGGGAAGGAGGGAGGGAGGGAGTCAGACAGAAGTGAAGTTGTGGTTCAAGTGGCAGAGCACCAAGAGACAGTGTACCCAGGCCCTGAGTTCAAGCTTCAAGACTGGCACCAAATATAACCATCATCATCATCATCATCACCACCATCATCATCATCACCATCATCATCATAACCATCAGCATCATCATCACCATCATCATCATCACCATCATCATCATCATCATCATCATCATCATCATCACCATCATCATCATCATCATCACCATCACCATCATCATCATCACCACCATCATCATCATCATCGTCATCATCATCATCACCACCACCATCATCATCATCATCACCATCATCGTCATCATCATCATCACCATCATCATCATCACCATCATCACCATCATCATCATCATCATCATCATCACCACCACCATCATCATCATCATCATCATCATCATCACCACCACCATCATCATCATCATCATCACCAT